CACGGGCCCTGCTGGACGCACACACGGGCCCTGCTGGACGCACACACTGGTCTTAATGTAACGACTCCTCCGACAGCCGGTCTCTTGTCTCGCTGCTCAGATCTGAGAACAGCGACGTCTTTATGGAGGACGGACATTTTTTGTGTCGCAGTCTGTGTTTCTGTCTTATCTGACAAAAGATCAGCCGAACACACCGTGATGACCTCTGCTCTCGTCTTTGATCCTCTGCTCCTCTGGCCTCGTCTGACATTCCTCCGCTCGAGAGTTTTCACACCTCTGCAGCAGACGGAGAAACAAGGTGTTTCTCTGAGACATGTTTTTTTTTGTTTTTTTTCCCCTGAGTCAACTCTGTTTCTGAAAAATGCTCAACTGACGGGTTTAAAAACGACCCTAACGGCCTCGTGATTGCGGTCGCTCTCATCTTTCTGCTAACTGAACGTCAGTGCAGCTTTTCTTCCAAGAAATCCAGAGGAAAAGACGATCGTCATCCCAACTGAAAAACAAAAATAAACCCTTCATGCAGAAGCCCACCCATTTAGACACGAAGTGATTTACTCATCAACTACCACATTCCAGCACAGCCACAATCCAAACATGTTTACGTTCACCACTCCCCTTCAGTAACGGCCTTCATCTTTTCTCTGCTTGGGATTTATTTTCTTTATGTACGGCGCTCTCATGCTGGATTTGATAACATATAAAAAACGTCCACGCATCAGATGTGCGCCCAGGTACAACTCTGATGGCGGTGTTCAGATGCAGCGGTGTTGACTCGGAGCTGTGCGCAGCTTCCTGTCCTTCAGCTGGATTCAGGGCTGGAGGCTGCAGCCAGCTCCTCCATCAATGAGGCCTTCAGCTGAGGACACAAAGGGCAGCTTGTGCGTCCCCCGCGGGGCCGGCAGGCTGCAACCAGAAACAACCGGCCGGGCCCAAAAGTAGCCACGGGCTCGGCTGTGGACGTCAAATAAACTTTATTAAATGGTCCCTGTGTGTGAAAGGCTGCGCCGTCTGAACACCCTGCTTTAATCAAATAACAACACGGTGTTTTCCGTGTTTGTTTCCACCCGGACGGGTTTACTCAAGCCTGTAATTCCTCAAAGATGGCCGACTCAGCTGGAAACAAACAACACTTCCAGAAAATCAACATCCCCAGAACATCAGCGCTGACGTTTGAACCCGACAATAAATGGTTTGAAAAGTATTTTCTACAGGCGGATCTTTTATTCAGATGCGTTTGTGTTTTGACGTTGTCATACTTTTTCATTGCTTTCAACTATTGTTATGAGTAAATAAAGCTGATTTTAGCCCCATCAAATGTTAACGGTGACTTTAGCTTTCTTATTGCTTTTGACTGCCCTTCACCATAAAATGTGTGTGTTTATGTCTGTTAGCAAAATATTCTCATGACCCACTACACAGATTTTATTGAAACTCTTACAAAGTGATCATTTCATGTACAGCAACACAACCCCAACTCCAACAAAGTTCAGATGTAAAATGTGAATTAACAAATAATTAAATGAGTTTAAACATCATGAACAAATAATGGAACACAGTAAACATATCAAATATTAAATGTTTAAACTAAGAATTTGTATCTTTTTTTGGGGGGGGGGAAATTAAGTCATCCCCACCATCCACCACGTCAGTAATAGGCATTAATGTACCCCCATGCCATCAGAGAGGCAGGCTTTTTTAACAGCTTGCTAATAACAGGCTGGATGGTCCCTGTTCTCTTTAGAACAAAGGAAATAACATATGATTTCCAAAATTAATAAAAGTTTTGATCTATGTGACCACAGAACAGTTTTTTACTCTGCCTCGGAACGTTTTAAACGAGCTCCAGTCCAGAGAAGACGACTCTGTTTCTGGATGATGCTCCTGTTTGGCCTCTTTCTTTTACAAGTCCGAGCTTTAAGCAGTTTTTGTGGATGTCGGGGTGAGCTGTGTTTACAGACAAGGATTTGTGGACGTGTCCCTGAGTCCATGCTGTGATGTCACAGAATCAGCTGTTTTTATGTGGTGCCCTCCTGAGAGCCTGAGGATGACAGATATCCAACACTGACTTTCAGCCTGGTCCTTTGTGCACAGACCTCCAGATTCTGGGATGTTTAAAATCTTCCTCAATTTTTTTTATTATTGAGAAACATTACCCTAAAACTGTTGCGCTATTTATAAACCGTTTCTCACAGACTGGAGAACCTCTGCCCATCTCTACTTCAGAGAGATTCAGCCTCTCTAAAATTATATATTTGTATATCCAGTCTTCTGACTGACCTGTATTGGAAAATGCTCCTCCACCTGTTTCTTACCCGTACTACCTTATCCTAACTTTTTTTGGAAACGGTTTACACACTGTCTCAAGTCTGCTGGAGTTTGGGTTGAACATTTGAAGCCAAGTTCAGTCAGCCGTGTCTTCTGAGTCCCCCCGTCGCCTTTTAACAGCTGGATCACTGCACATCCAGTTTCAGATGCTCAAAAGCACAGACGGCCATTTGTTGGCGCCCCTCAGTCAGGATTTCACACCGTCCAGACAGATACCAGAGCATGCAGACGAGTGGGTGTGAAGAGTCACCGTGCAGAGCGTTGAAACCACAAGCGACACACTTTAAAACACACCACTGGCACTGCAGCTCACTTACTGGAAATGACAACTTTGCATGGCTAAAATGATTTTTTTTTAAAGTGCACCTACAGTACAAATCATGGTATTCTTTTCTCCTGAAGGACGAGACGTCTTTTAAAAGATAATCAGTGATCTATTCATAATTTTTGTTGTTTAAACGTCTTATCAGAGCTGCTTTGGTCACTGTGGTCAAGAAAACTGCTCGACGACACCCCGCAACGAGGAGAACCAACGTTTCTATTCCAATCTTTGGGAAATGCGCCCTGACCCATAGCGCTGAACTTCAGGCCTGAGAGCCGCTCTGCAGATGTTCTCGAGCTAATCTGAGCGATATGGCAACGCAGATCATGAAGTAGAGAAAAGCTTTGATGTCCTTATCTGACATCTGGATTGTATTCTCTTTCTGAGAACTGGTCACTGTTAGACGATAGCACACAGCCCACATCAGCGAAGGATCAAAACACGTGTGAAACCTCAGCACTGCTAACCAGTCCCAGATTGAACCAGTCCCAGACTGAACCAGTTCGGCTCAGGTTGACTGAGAGGGAAGATTTTGTTGTTGCTGTTTCGTAGAACATCATGAAAGCAACTGAGTCACCGTGACTGTCGAAGAGCAGCTTTCACAGCTTCAACAACTTCACATCCAACTCACATTTTCAAAAAGAAGCAAAATTAGCAAAAAAACAAACAATTTTTTTTACTTCATATTAGCTGTGAAAAACACAGTTTTAGAGAAAAAAAAACTCTGAAAGGATTACAAACCTGTTCATACATCACACACTTTCTAAAACTTTGATTTAAAAATATATATATTATAATTACATTTATGAAACATTTTCTTTGTTAGCTGCAGGAGAAGCGTTAAACATGTGTCACCTGATGTAAAATAAAGCCAAATCAGGTCTACCTGTCTGCACAGAGACGACCAGGAGGCTGAAGAGCAGCAGCAGGACCAGTCTGCAGAGACCGCTGGGAACCATGGCGGGAACGGCGAGGGTCTCCGAAAATCCTCGAGCAGCGGCTTCTAACGAGAAGCTGACCCTGGGAAAAGAAGCGGGAGAAAGGTAAGGCGGCCGAGGGGCGAGAAAAGGGGTTGGATGAAGTGTGCACAGGACAGTGCACACTTTGTAAAAAAAAATGTAAAAAAGACCCACCCCATCACTCCTCTGGTCACATATCTGAGCGTGAGGGGTCACAAATCCACTCAGCTGGCTTGTTTACAGCTCCAAGTCAGTCTGCAAAGAAATACCTGCCTGCACAAAGGAGTACTGATGAATTCAAGTAGAAGTACACAGTCCTCTATGTTCAAAGATCAAACGGTTCAACTGAGATTCACGAGATCTACTGTAGGAGAAATTATTCAACTGAACACGTTGGTTTTTATTTTTAAAAAAGGGCCTTGTGGCATTTAACTGTACATTGTTGACTCATGGCACCAGGTATTTATACAAATATATATATTTTTACTCCTTTTATAACCCCTACTGTAAACAAAAAATATTTCATCAGCTCAGTGTTTTGTGAAGCATCAACCTGCATCCTGTAAAACTGAAACCAAATTCAAACAAAGAACAAATGTGAAGCAGCACGTTAGTTTATTTAGCAAGGAGCTAGTTGTATGCAGCACTACTGTCATCCATTTTTCTTCCGTTTGTTTTTCAGCTTCTTTCTCGTTCCACCACTTTTCAAGCTGTTTCAACAAATCATATCAACGTTCAGCTTTTTCAGGACAATCCTGCGATGACTTTTGGTATTGGTGCAACTTTAGCTTTTTGAAATATTGATCCTTTTCTGCCATTTTGTTTCTCATAGAAAATGAACTGAGCTCATTTTACATCCTTCAGATCTTTAGATGCGTTTATAACCTTTTACTGCTCCTTTCACATTTTGTTCTGGTTCAGCTTCTTTGTGCAAATTTAAACTTTTTCAGCTACTTTCAGCCTTTTTTCAGCCTAATTCAGCAAAAATGTTCTCTCTATACATCCTTCTGGTAATTTAAGCTTTTTAATGCATTTGTAGCTACTTCTCAGCTGTTTTATTTTTGGCTTATTTCAGCATTTTACAAATATCCACTTCAATTGTGCTCATTTCTGCTTAATTAGGCAAACACGTTCTTTCTGATTTCTTCTAATTTAAGTTGTTCTACCTTTTCAGCTACTTTTTTTTTTAGCTAATTTCAGCTGTTTTCTGATATATTCAAGATTTTTTGTGGTAATTTCTGCTACTTTCAGCCTAATTAACATCTTTATGCTGATTTCAGCTTGTTGCCCCTTTCAGCTTTTTTTCTGCTGGTTTTAGCTTTCTGCTCTTTCAGCTACTATTTTGCTCTTTTGATGCCAATTTAACTTTTTCAGCTCATACCACATTTTTCAAGCTCATTTCAGCTCTTTCCACGTTCTGTTATGTTTTTTTGCCTTTTCGGCTGCTTTTTAATTTTTGTTTTTGTCAATTTTAGCCCTTTTTTTTTTTTTTTTGCCGATTTCCAATTTTTTATGATAATTTCTGCTTATTTAAACCAAATTCAGCAAATATGTGTTCTTTCTGCTTTCTTTTGCTAATTTAGGCTTGTTCTTTAATTTCAGCTACATTACAGCATTTTTAAGCTAATTTCAGCAGTTTTTCAGCAAGGTCTTCTGTCTAGTTACATTTAATTAAATCAATGTTAGGCTGGTGTATCCGTCTAGGCTCGAGTAAATCTGGAGGCGTTTGTTTAGTTTGTGTCTGTTGGTAACGTTGCAGTGAAGAGTGAGTTTTTTACACTTCCAGTAAAAATTTCATTATAGCTGGAAAGTTTTGGTGAAGAACGCGGTGGTTTCTTAAATTTTCCACAAACAGAAGTGGCTCTGCTCCGAACTTGGTGCTTTTTGTTGTTGTTTTTGAGAATTACAAAACTTAAAGAGAAACCCACACCATGACATGTTTTCTACTTACACAGAAAAATAATTAAAAAATAGTGCTCTCGTGTCCGCATCGTTTTAAAACGACTGACATCTCTGAAAGTTCCTCACTGCTCCTTTTTATGGAGCTGAAACTGAAAATCAAACAGCCCAATAAGGAAATTGTTAAAATATTAGAAATTTAGCTCATAATCACATATATCTAACAAAAACCACATTCCTAAATAAATATTTGTACGCTTAATTTTAATGCGTTCATTTACTTTGTCATTTACTTAGTTGAGCCTTCATTGAGTTTTTTGTGTTTCTTTCAGTATAACTTCTAGTTCATTGATTATTTTAATACCTAGTACTTGTTTTAGCAGTTGTTTTCCCATAGTATATATTTATTTGTTCCCTTTTGGCACTTTTTTCTTTTGAAAGCTTCATGAGTGTGAAAAGTAAAAAAAAAAAAAAATCAATGTGATGTGTACTGGTTTTGTACAAATGTCACTTTTTTGGTAATGAATTACCAGTTTTTTTTGTTGTTACATCAAACACAAGCATGCCCGTAAACGAGTTTCAAAAAAAGAGAATCGGTGGTTTTTATTTCCTCTTCGGCGCTTTAAAAACAATTACGAGCTGGACGGAGACGAGCATCACAATGGGTTGCTGGCAGGGGGAGATTTACTTCTTAAAACGTCACTCAGCTGCGCGTTTGTAACTTTAGCTTTTAGTTTAATTTTCAGATATTAACTTTGAATTCTAGAGTAAATTAATGCCATGGCACAAACCGTGGTGTTAGCAAAATTTACTGCGTGAAGTTATTATTCCGTAACTAAGGATTGAATCGCTCTTAAATTAGTTCTTTAAAATATGATTTCATGAAGCGTGATGGGATCATTAAAATGAGCAGTTCAGTGTTTGTTTTGTGAAAAATACAGAGACAGATGTAAACAGCCCACACATCAGACTGTTTTATTTCATACTGCAATAAAAAAGTATGACTCCAGCAGATCATTTTCATATATTATAATACAGATGCAGAATTGAAAGTTTATTCTTTAAACAGCCTAGTATTTTACAAGAAATAGATAACTACTTGGAACTTTTGAACATGTCCTTAAAACAGGACATAAGTGGGCACGAATCCTTGGGCTCTAGCTTGCATTATCCACAAACAACCAGCTGGGGGGGGGGG